ATAACGCTATTCCCTGGACATCAGCACCACACATCAACGTACCTGCCGCGCCCTGATAAGCCCGAGTCTTTCTAAAACACGAATTCTGGTAGGTTGATCCTGGGAGCCCGTGAAACTCTTGCAAATTTTTAAAGCGAATGTGCGTGGTGCTAAAGCGAGAGCCACATTTTGAAAAAGGGGCCGCCCTCAATGAGTGAAGCTTTGGCGATTCTAGAAAACGAGCGCGCGTGGCGCTAAGGCGAGAGCCACAGTTTGAAAACGGGTCGCCTTCAGTCTGTGAAGCTCGTACAAATGCTCAAAGTAATGTGTGGCGCGGCGCTTGGTGCGGGAACGCGGCGCTTGAGCAAATTGTGGGGAATTTCAATGCAAGGGCGCGATTCTTGAATACACCGCAAGCAAGTCTCCAGCGAGATCGCGACTCCAGAGCGCCGAGAGAGCGATTCCTGTACAAATTGCAAGGCAGTCCCAAGCAGTAAATTGCGAGGAAGTCTCAGGCGGCAGCGGGGGTCATGGGTAAATCAAGTGTGGAGAAGTCTCACGCGTGAGCCGTTGTTGCTGTAATCCAGGGGCCAGGGGCACAGTTTGACCCTTGTGGCTTTCCCTGATCAGTAGCAGGGTGCGAAGTTCGGGGGAAACACTTGAATTGAATTTGGTTGGCGAAAGACTAACCATATGCAGTTGGGAATACCGTCGTTGTTCGTATCGCTTTCGGTGGATCTCCTTATGAGGCCACGAAGCGGGTGACGAGTGTGCCGACATGGGGCAGGACGGAGCTCCCTATGGGGCCACGAAGCGTGCGCGGGTGTGTCAAAATGGGGCGGCGCCGCCATGCGGACTGCGCCACTGGGACCTTAGGTGGAGCTCCTTATGTGGCCACGAAGCGTGTGAGGGGTGTGTCAAAATGGGGCGGCGCCGTTGTGCGGACTGCGCCACTGGGACCTTAGGTGGAGCTCCTTGTGGGGCCACGAAGCGTGTGAGGGGTGTGCCAAAGTGGGGCGGCGCCACCATGCGGACTGCGCCATTGGGACCTTAGGTGGAGCTCCATATGAGGCCACGAAGCGTGCGAGGGGGGTGCCAAAATGGGACGGCGTCGCCATGCGGACTGCACCATTGGGACCTTAGGAGGAGGGGCCACGAAGCGTGTGAGGGGTGTGCCAAAATGGGGCGGCGCCGCCATGCGGACTGCGCCACTGGGACCTCAGGTGGAGCTCCCTACAACCCCCTGGATTAAAAAAGTCTGGGCTGCAGAGGTCGAGGAAAAAACTGCGATGATCGGTTACTGTTAGGCCACGGGGCCCCGGTACAATGTTGCAGAGGCCGCCGCGGCAAAATTACCGGTGCATCCTCACCCCCTTGAAAATTATGATCGCCAAGTGGGGTGACGACTGGAAATTCGTTTACGGCCCAGTACAACCGAAAAAATTCTGGTCGCTTTTCAGACGACCGGGAATTTTCAGAGGCCACCGGATTTTGGCGATTCCGCTAAGGACCTCCTCACAAAAGAACAATCCCATTTATGTTGCCTGAAAGTTGCGATTCTGCTTGGGACTTCCTGTAAGTCATGTTTACCTCTCTCGGCGTGCGCGTTTCTAAACAGAACTTGTTGCTCCCAGGGCTCAGCGCCTTGCGGTGCCTTTCCGTTGTTCGGCGCGCGGGCCTGTCGCGGGGTCATCTCGGAGGCCATGGCCCAGAGTCGAAGGTCCAGGGACAATCGAGGGTCGAAGCTCCCGGCCCCATCTGATAGCGACGATGCAAGGAGGCCTGCAGTGCCGATCCGGATTTTTCAATCCAGGGTGAGGTATGGGCCACGAAGCGTGTGAGGGGTGTGCCAAAATGGGGCGGCGCCGCCACGCGGACTGCGCCACTGGGACCTTAGGTGGAGGGGCCACGAAACGTGTGAGGGATGTGCCAAACTGGGGCGGCGCCGCCATGCGGACTGCGCTTGTGGGGCGTTAGGTGGAGGGGCCACGAAGCGTGTGAGGGATGTGCCAAAATGGAGCGGCGCCGCCATGCGGACTGCACCATTGGGACCTTAGGTGGAGGGGCCACGAAGCGTGTGAGGGGTGTACCGAAATGGGGCGGCGTGTGATGGGTGTGCCAAAATGGGGCGGCGCCGCCATTCGGACTGCGCTAGTGGGGCGTTAGGTGGAGGGGCGGAGGGGCCACGAAGCGTGTGAGGGGTGTGCCAAAATGGGGCGGCGCCGCCATGCGGACTGCGCCATTGGGACGTTAGGTGGAGCTCCTTATGGGGCCACGAAACGTGTGAGCGGTGTGCCAAAATGGTGCGGCGCCGCCATGCAGACTGTGCGGGAGGAGGGGGAGGAGTAGGAGGAGGAGGAAGGAAGGAAACGCGGGGCGCTGTTTCTTCAGAACGAGGACCCAACACCACAGGATGGTTGGGAAAAACACAATGGTCACCGGAGGGGGGGATCATCAACATGTACTTCTCAATCGTCCGTAGCCATTTTGGCTCAAGGTAGAAGCCTTGCGCCTCTGCCGGCTCCCTTGCTAGCAACCCGTGCCTCCTCCCTCCCTTGCGTGCCCTCCAGAAATTGGGGTTGGCTCGCGGCCGATGGACGGGGGCGCGGCGCCAAGCGAATCCTCTGCGCGCAGCACCAATGACGCGACCCGGGAGCCCCATGCAGGCCGCCCGGCTCTGAACCCGCGGCCACCCAGGCCGTGGTCGGTGAAAGCGGGCAGCCCGCGTGATACGGCCGGTGGGTTTGCGGACGCGGCAATCGAGAGGAGGATGCGGGTCATGGAGGTGGCGCTCCAGGCGGGCGGCAGGCTCGCGGGCGAGGCGATCGAGAGGAGGGTCCGTGCCCTGGAGGACACGCTCTGGACAGGCGGCGGGTTCGCTGGCGCGGCGGTCGAGGAGAGGCTCCGCGCCGTGGAGGAGGCCGTGGCAGTGCTGGCCGACGCGGCGCTCGAGAAGCGAATCAGCGCCGTGGAGGATGCGATTCGACAGGAGCGCAAGGAAAGGAAGGCGGTGAAGTCTTTCGGCCAGGTCGAGGAGTCTGAGGAGCTCGAGGTGCCTGTGCTGAATCAGCGTGGGTCCCCTGGACCCCCCAGCAGCAGTAATGACAGAAGGTCAGTGACTCCACTCATGCTCGATTGTGGGGACATGTACACCATGCGCGAGTCAGTTTGGGACTCGATGCTCTTCTGCGGGCACAGCTCGATTGGTCTCACGAACTCGGTGATGATGTTCTCAATCTGGTTTCTTAACCTGATTCTGCAGTTCATGTTCATTGTGATCATCGTTTATCTGATGACGCAGTCTGTCAGCCTGGATTCAGATGTACTTGATGGCCTGCTCAAGTTTAGGCTCGGTTTGGCGCACAGAGCCGAGTATGCAGACAAGGTGACGCAACGATCGATGGCCCAACAGATCTGCGATGGAGATTCTAAGCTGCACCTGGCTGGTGAGCAGACGGGTCTTTACACCGACCTCATGGAGTACGTTGGTGGAGGCGTCGTAGCTCAGTGCCTCGTTGTATTCATTCAGATCCTGTGGCTCTGCACAATACTGAAGGATGTCGATATTACATACAGCATATTCAGAGCAGTGTGCCAGTGCAGGATGGGGAGCCAGACGAAGCTCGTGGTTGGTGACATGGATGAACACGAAGACGACAGTCCTCCCACTCTCGTTCGCACAGGAGCTCGTGACATTGGTGTCGGTGAAGATGATTCTGGCAACCTGTTCGACTTCATGAAAGTCGTGCGCATGGTCACCGTGTGGCCTGGCCGCGTGGCATTCTTTTTCTTCAGCGTGTGCCTCCCGAAATTGCTGGTGGCCAGCCTTTTGTGGTGGTTCGGGGCCAAGTGGTTAGCCAACACGGTGAACTTCTCCGAGCTGATCTTGAACGGCGTGGCGCTCGCCTTCGTCCTCGAATTCGACGAGGTGCTGTACTCGGTCCTCATGCCTCGGCGAACCAAGACGCTGATCTGCAACTTGGAGCCCCTGCCAATGCCACCGCGCAAACCAGGCTCCAGGCTGTCTGGAGTGAGCACCGCTTTCACCATCGCCCTTGTCATGACCATAATCTCGAGTTTTTACATGTTCGTGGTCTTGCCGATCAATTGGCAAATCCTCCAGGGCGAGAAAATCGTGTGATCAGGCGACCTGAATTTCGTCTACACCCAGAACCCCGCCACTAAAATGGTGCACGTCGCGAAGACGATGGGGGAGAATGTATACACCGACACCGAGGAGATTATCGCGCAGGTGTCGCAGGTTGAACTCCAGGAAAACGACGGGTGGGAGGGCAGGGTGAGCCAGAGCATATTCGACGCCTCTAGATCGACGTTTGCCCGGGCCGTCGACGAGTCGACGTTCGGCCTGATCGTCGATATGAGCGTGTGGAGCCTTTCGGACGCGGCCAGCACGCTACCATGCCGCGATCTGGGCTCTGGCCAGAGCACCGAGGCATCGGTGCAGACGCTCAGGGTGCTCAGGGGCGACCCCAACATCAGCAGCTGCGACGACATCCCACGAGACCTCTGCGCCGCCCAGGAAAGCACGTGGCTTCGCGCCATATGCCCGAGGCACTGCCGCTGCGAGGAGCCGCTCCTGAGTAACGTCGGCTTCTTCGGAAAGGCCAGCTTCGGGTGCCCCAGCCAGTGCGAGACATTCAAGGCGGCGACAAGCGAGATAGCTTTCAGATATGCGCTGAGCACTCTGGAGAGTGCCAGTCGGCGCTTGCAAGCTCCGGAATCGCTGGGCGCAGCGCTGGATTTCTCAATTCTAAATCGGGGGTTGAGCGCAGCCCAGGACTCAAACGCAACCCAGAACGCAAGCTCAGACCAGCTGACTACCTCCTCTTTGTTCCAAGGGTGCTCGGACTTCGCAAGCGCGGAGTTCTCCTTCGCAGGCGGGTGCGCTGACTCGAACGAGGAAACGCAACTCGACAAGAATGGCAACGACTGCTCCGTGTACACGGCTGTCCCCTCTTTCTGCGGCATGGCCGACGACGACGACTTCCAGGCGGCCGATTTGTGCTGTGCTTGCGGTGGCGGCCGCGAGGACGTCCTGAGTTCTGCTTCTTGCTGGGGCAATTTTGAAAGCGTGTGTTGGCATATGCCGCGGAATGCCCGGGCGTTCCTGTTCTACGTGAGGGGCCTTTTTGAATATTTGACGAGCCTGTCAGGATTCAACGACAGCGTCACCGAGGTCGTCGAGAAGGATTACGCTGGGGTCAATCCCGACGAGGGCATGATGGCCGACCTCATCGAGCACGTCGCGACCGGCGCCATGGGGCGGGCTCTGGTCAGTGGCATTTGGGAGTTGATGCCTGGGCTCGCGCACCCGCGGGGGTTGTCCGGCTGCGACTTTCTTGCGTCGTACGAGGTCACGTCTTTGCTGAACCTCGACGCGTGCGCCGACGGGGACCACACGTCCCTGAGGTTCTTCTGCCCAAAAGCCTGCGGCTGCGGCTCATCGTTCGGCATGGACGAGTGTCCCGTTGCTTGCGTCCTCAAGGAGTGTTTGGAGGCAAATGCATCGTGTGCTCACGTGCACCCTTGGTACAGCGACGAGTGCCTCGCTGGGTATCACAACGATGGCGGGCGTCCTACGTGTCTCAGCTGCGCCGGCGGCGAGACGAGGCGGCGGCGGGCGGCCGACTGCACGGACTGCCCCGACGGCTTTTACGACATTGGGAATTTGGACGACTGCGTGTCGTGCGTGGGTGGAGCCGTCCGGCGGCGACGCTCCCAGTCCTGCACTGACTGTGCCCCGGGCTATGTCGACGCCGGCGACAGCGACGAGTGCAGCCCTTGCGTGGGATGCACCACGACCCGCAGGCGGTCTGTCTTCTGCGCAGAGTGCGCGACTGGGAGGTACAACGAGGGGGGCATGGAGGACGACTGCCAGTTGTGCCTCGGCGTTTGGACGACGAGGCGGCGCGCGTCCACTGCAAGCGAGTGTCCGGCTGGCCACTATAACGACGGCACCTCGGACGATTGCCTTCAGTGTGGCAGAGACCGTGAGACAAGGCGCCGCCGTGCCGAGATTTGCACCACCTGCGATGCTGGTTACACCAACCTTGACGGGGACGACACGTGTGAGCCTGTTGGGTGTCCATACAACTCTACTGGAGACGGCGTCGTGGACGGATGCAAGTGCGATGTTGGATTTGTCGGTCTGATCCGACCTCTTTCTGGGCAACCGTATTTTTCGGGTGCATGTTCGGAGCTACCCTTCTACAAAATAACTTCTGGATTTTGCCCAGTTCCAGTCTTGGACACTGGTCTGTGTCCTTTCGCTGCGCAGGTACTTGGTATGAGTGATGCTACCTCCGCGACTGAGAGAAACACGTATTATGATTTCACGTTGTGGAAGTATTTGTCTTACGAGTGGGAGCCACGTGGGTGTTACGTGGATACCTGGAACGGCAACCTTCTGTCCAATGAGTACGGAGAGCAAGTTTGCAGTCCGAGGTATGCGTGCATTTGCATGGGGTACGAGGACGAGTTTGTTTGCACTGATTCGGGAGACACAACGTGCCCGAATGCCACCTACGCTAGTTTTTCTGCATATTATGATTGTTCGGATGGCGAAAGGGAGAGTTGCTGTGATTGCGGCGGTGGGGACCTCACGAAGCAGAATGCAAGCTCGTGCGTGGACACAGATGGATTGCACCTCAGTGTTCCCGCCGAATTCAGTTTTGAGAACGGCCAGGGTTCCTCACTTCGATGTCTAAAATGGGACTGGATGCCAGCAACCAGTCATTGGGCGATCTACTATGACGACGAAGATTTCACTGCTGCTGACATGTGCTGCGCTTGCGGTGGCGGGCAATATGCGATCACTTTGACCGCTTCGAGCTCCACGACCACAACGTCGGCCACCGAGTCGAACGCCACGCAGCTTTAAGTATTACAGCCCGGAGGCAGCGCCAGGAGTGGCTGGCGCGTGGAGGGCGGCTGGCAGCGGGCGACGACGCCAGGCTGCCGACACTGGAGGAACAGGAGGCGGAGGCGGAGGCGGATGAGGCTGGCCGAGGGGGCCAGTGACGCGACGGCGGGCGGCGCCGTGAATGTACTCATTCGTATTGCAGCATTGTAATCGGAGGTGAGGGGTTGAGATATATAGCACCTCCCACCTTGTCCTTTCTCTCCTCCTCGCCCTCCCGCCTTTCCCCCCTCCTCTCCTCTGTTCCCTCCCGCGTGCCTGGTCCGAGGCATGGCAGCACGCAGCGTGCCGCGCGCCGCGTGGGCGGGCCGCGGCTACTGGCGCGCGGGGGCCGATTTTGCAGGCCGCGTGGGCGATTCAGTGCAGCGTTGCTTTTGTCGACGAAGCACGCCGCCTCGGTAGACATGACGGCGTGCTCCACAGGGAGAAGTTAGGATGATGGTGATGATAAGGATAATTCGTCGAACAAGTATTACACTGGGCTCGACAGCTGCGCTCGCTGCAGTTCGCGCTGATCTCCTCTGGCAGTTACAATGCCTGTCGGATGACAATACGTCTGGGAATCCGGGTACCTGGCTCAAATGCCAGGTTTTCATTTTTTTCAGCTCAGCACGCCCACGATGTCGGCACGGCCGCTCGAGCTCTTTTTCCTGCCATCACTGGCGTCCAAGCCCCGAATTGTCTTCTGCGAGCTGTGCAAGCCAAACTGTGCGCAGCCCTGCCTTGCATCTCCAGCGTTACGAATAACAATAAAAAAAAACATGTACTTCTCAATCGTGAGAACTCAACACCAGCAACAACAAGACCAACAACAACAACAACACCAGCAACAACAATAACTACATCAACAGCAACAGCAACAGCCACAGCAACAGCCACAGCAACAGCAACAGCCACAGGCACAGCAACAGCAACAGCAACAGCAACAGCAACATCAACAATACACAAACATAATCTGAGCCACGGAATCTCAGCTCGCCCACGCACTCAGGGATGGTGTAAGACTGCTCGGGCCCCTCATTCTGCTCTTGTCCAGCCCAGTCCATCAGCTGGCTGCACATGCCCTGAGCGGCTCATGGGGGCAAACATCTGGGCCAATGGGGCGGAGCCCACCGAGCGGAGCTACCTTACCCGGACCCCTTCCACAGCTTCACGCGGTGCACTTTGCGGGCAATAGTTATATCCACATCCAGTGCGTCTTGGACTCCTGGGCTCTCTTACCCAGAAACCGTAGACGCACTGGATATGGATAAAAATCTGGGCCCAACAGGCTTGGTTTTATCCATATCCAGTGCGCCTCGGCGTTGCGGCACCTCTTCCCGAAAAGTCCAAGACGCTCTGGATATGGATATAAGTACTGCCCGCACACTTGCCAGCCCCTCAAAAACTCCACGTGGTGCACCCCCTCGGCACCCCCTCGGCACCCCCTCGCGGTCCGAGCGGCGGCAGCCCTGCCGCGCGCCCCGCGGATCGGCCCTGCGGCCCGCGGATCGGCCGGGCGCCGCGCCCGCCGGCCCGCGCCCGGCCGTGCCTACCCGGCCAGGCGGCGGCCCTCCTCCTCCTCCTCCTCCTCCCTCCTCCCTCCTCCTCCTCCTCCTCCTCCTCCTCCTCCTCCTCTCCTCCTCCTCCTCCTCCTCCTCCCTCCTCCTCCTCCTCCTCCTCCTCCTCCTCCTCCCTCCTCCTCTCCTCCTCCTCCTCCTCCTCCTCCTCCTCCTCCCTCCTCCTCCGAGCGGCCAGCATGGCTGCGGCGCGGCCCGCCTCGCCGCGGCTCGCCGCCGCCGGGGGCGGCGGTCCTCGGGCCCGAGGCAACGAGCGGCGGTCTTTCCCCGAGCAAGTTCCGCTGGAGGGTTCCGGCCCAGGGCCGCGGGCGTCCTAGGGATTGGGCGGGGGTCCTGGGGCTCGGGCAGGGTCCATGGGACGAGGGAGGAGTTCCTGGGGCTCTGAAGGGGCCCCTCGGGCTTGGGAAGGGGCCCCTTGGGTTCGGAAGGGTTCGGAAGGGAGTCCTAAGGCTCGGCCGGGCTTCCTGGAGCTCGGACAAAGTTCCTAGGGTTCGGAAAAGGGGTCCCTTGGGCTCGGGAAATGGGTTCACAGGGCTTGGAACGGGGGCCCTCGGGCTCGGAAGAGAGTGCTCGGAACCGAACCTGCCCCTAGGGTGCGGAAGGGCCTCCAGGGTTTGGACGGACGGGGGGCCCTAGGGCTCTGAAGGGGGTTCTGGAGCTTGGAAGGGGTTCCCAGGGCTTGGAGAAAGGGCTCATACGGTTCGGACGGGGACCCTAGAGCTTGGAAAAGAGGTTCCTAGGGCTCGGATGGAACTCCTAAGGCTCGGGAGGGGCTCCTAGGGCTTGGAAAGGGTTCCTAGGGGAAGGTGCTCTTAGGGCTCGGAGAGGGGCTCCTAGGGCTCGGAAGGCGTTCCTGGGTTTGGGAAGGGTTTGGATCGGGGGGGTCCTGAAGGGGCCCCTGGGGCTTGGAAGAGGTGCGGTTCTTAGGGGTCGGAAGGTGTTCCTGATGCTCGAATAACGAATTCCTGGGGCTCGGATGGGGCTCCTAGGTCTCGGAAGGGGTCCCTAAGGCTTGGAAGGGGGTCCCTAGGGCCCGGAAGGGATTTCCACGGTCCGGAAGGTGCTCACAAGGGCTCGGCGTTCGTAGGGCTCGGAAGATGTTCACTAGGGCTCGGGCTTCCTAAGGCTCGATAAGTAGTTTCGAGGGCTCGGAAGGGGCCCCGAGGGCTCGGAAGGGGCACCCAGGGCTTGCCACCATATGAATACGAACGCGTTCCGCCCGTCGTGTCTTTCCCAACCATCCTGTGGTGTTGGGTCCTCGTTTTGAAGAGACGGTCCCCGCGTTCACTCCTCCTCCTCCTTCTACTGCTGCCCCCTCCCTCCTCCTCCTCCTCCTCCTCCTCCTCCGCCCCCTCCTCCTCCTCCGCCTCCTCCTCCTCCTCCTCCTCCTCCTTCTCTTCCTCTTCCTCCTCATTATCATCATCACCACCACCACCATCATCATCATCATCATCATCATCAGCATCAACATCATCATCAGCATCATCATCATCATCATCATCATCATCATCATCATCATCATCATCATCATCATCATCAGCGTCATCATCTGCATCATCATCATCAGCATCATCGTCGCCATCATCCGTAGCCATTTTGGCTCAAGGTTCTAGCTCCCCCTGGAGCTAGAGCCTTGTCGCTGCCGACAGGGAGGCCCAGGGCCCACGTGCCTGCCAGGATCGACTTTCACAGGCACGACCCCTGCGGGAGCATCCGCGCCTCAGCTTTTCTCTCAGGCCGCCGCATTTTGCCCACGGCCAACGCCTCGATGGCGTCCATAGAACAGAAGATGAACATGCTGGTCGCCAACATGGGCAAGGTGTTGACAAAGATCAGCCACCACGACAAAACGATGGAACAGGTCACCTCAGAGATGTCTGCGCCCAAGGAGGACGTGAGCCAGAAGCTGAAGCGCCATGACGACCAGTTCCAGCATATCCAGATCCAGATTGCAGCCATGAGGTCGATGCGAGACAGCGAGGAGGACCTGGACGTGACCGGCCGCCACCTCTTCATCGGCCTGATCCAGGCTCACTACGCCAACAGGTTTGCCAAGATGGAGGAGTCAACCGCCGAGCTGAAAACTACTGTGGCGGCGTTCTCGCCCGCGCCTTCGGTCGTCTCGAGCCGCGCAGCGGGATGGGGACCATATCAGACGACGGACCAGGTGAAGAGCTCAGGCACTGATCGTCGTAATTTGTGGGTGCGCGGCTTCCCCGCGAAGCTCATGCCGTCAGCCTTCGGCAATCACTTCGAGCGCATGAAGCAGTTGATGATCGTGATCGATGCCAGGCTGTCACCAAGAGCGGCAAGTACGCGTGCGTCGTCCAGTTTGAGGACCCAGAGGACGCGAATAACGCTCTCCTGCAGTTTCGAGCGATGGCGCTCGAGCGGGGAGACGGCAGCGGCCTCAGGCACAGGCTGAGCGTTGGCGCGGACGAGCCCATCGATGTGCGCAAGAAGCGAATGGTTCTATGCCAGATCTGGCAGCAGGTGCGACGCATCATGATCGAAGCTAGGACATGGACGGCGCAGGCCCAGTTGCGCTGCAAGAAGTACAACGGCCTCTGCTTCCTCGTCAACGGCGACCTAGTCGATGAGTCCGTTGGTCGAGCTCAAGCACGCGATGGAAGGAGACGCCCCGACAGTCGAACCGAACCGCGCCAACCTCAGGAAGTGCAGTTTCACAGACGCCCAGATCGATCACCTGCCCAGTCTGCCACGGCGGCTCTCCGCCGAGAAAAGGACGTTGCCGGGCCAGGACATGAGCGAAGCCGCCGCGCAGAAGCCGATGACGACGCAGAATTTGGCATTGAATTGTTTCGGCCCCTTCTTCAGTCGCACGAGGATGGCGCTTCGAGAGCCTCGACCTCCATCCCCTCTGATGGCAGAAATGCACGGGCTATTTCTGATCCGTATCTTCCTCCGCATATCCCAGGGAGAAGCAATGTCGCTCGGGGAGAGCGGCTGCGTCCTGTCGTGCTTCCGCAGGCCCTGGGAGTTGCGACATGGAGCTCTCGGGCTTTTTTTCGGCAGTGTCTATGGCGATCCTCGCCGACAGAGAAAGGAACAGAAAACCTTCAGGCGCCTCATCAACGCATTCCAGGTTGTGTTTCTGCAGGGATCCCACGGGGCGGAAGGAGGTGTTTCTACGTTGGATCGCGATGTTCCCAGCTACGCTTCAATCCGGCTCGTTCTTCTCCTCCCCTGCAGCTGGCGGGGTAATTATATCGGTCGTTATTTCTTCCCAGTCCTCTGTCCACAGTGCGCAGTCGCTCGAGATTGCGGCTGGCCGACGCTTGTCGCTCACCATGTCTGGCAGACATGGTGCTCTCCAGCTCATTGGTATACATATAGATCCTGTGCTGTCCGACATTGAGAAGGATCCGGCGATCCGCGCTT